AAGAGCATTTCCCCAGCTGTCAGTTCAGTTGTTCATTACCAGGGTAGTGGCCAGAAAGCAAGAGGAGATTCTCTGAAAAAGAGCCTTCATATATCCTATAACCTTAGCCTGGATCATACCTTCGATGGCAGGACTCTGAAGCACAAACAACCTTGAGAGAATCTGTTGGTTACATTTCCAAGCCAGTATTACAGATGTGCAAGTGTTAAATTCTAGAGTTTTATAATTTGAGTGAAATTGGATTGCTTCTCATAAAAGGGCAACACTAGTGCCAAAGCGTGTTCCCTTGCCCCTCTACATCTTTTCATCAAATGCCAAGTCAGTTCCTTCTTAAATTGGAAGCTTTCCATAAAATTCAGCCAGAATAAGAAATTTCACATGGAAATTTTTTTCCAAAATGGTTAAAGTACACACAACGTAACTGACAACAGACTTCAAGAAAGTGTTAAGCAGACTTGACAACAAGTATGTATCATTGCTAGCTCCATCCACAATAAGAATATCTATACATGATTATATCCCTTTCTTTTCGTCTATCTCTGTGCTTTGTTTGTTACCCTACTTTGAAAACTGAAGATTTCTGCAGTACAGTATCATATCCTGGTATTACTCAAGTTTCCAACAGATAATGACAATTCTTATATCCTCCATAGACAAATGGAAGTGAATTCTGTATATTAATGAGACATTTGTGCACATTACTAAATTTATAAACAAACATAATTATAAGTAGAATGACATTATAAGCAAGAGTATCAGCTTCCATAGAACAACTGTAAAAGTAAATGATGATTTAAAAATGATACTATAGTGAGAAGCATGCTACTTTCACCCATTTTGGCAGAGATGGGAAGATGTTATGTGTCTTCTACACAAATGAAGCAGGTAATTGCTTTCTGTCCTAAAGAATCAAATCCTGTTTCATTCATGGAGTGTTTATTTGCCTGGCACAGCATACTTTATTCAAACATTTTCATAAGATGCTATGAAAAAAATGAATATATCATTACCTAATAAGGCTATATCATGAGACGTTATTAATTACACTTGCACATAGAATCCTAAATCTGTCCTAAGTAATTTTTTTGTAATTCTATATTTGAAAACGTTAACATTCTCACGACTCAGAGTATTTAATGCAATAAACAAAACAATTTGTCTTAAAGCACACATATTCCAGGAATAGCATCATTTTGTATGTCCACAGATCCATTTACCTTACAGTCTGGATAACATGTGTTAGCCACTGGCCAGAAAGTTCAGATTTCATCTCCCAGCCACCATACTGTCTTGATTCTCCTTCTCTGAGGCTGAATGGAAGCAAAGCTCCACGGATAAGTTTTACCAGAGAGTGCATCACTTCCTGAATCATTTTCTGTATCAGAAGAAGGGAAAGAAAAATCAAGCAATAAGCTCTACCAATGTGCTTAGGCAGCCATGTACTTGCTATACATGGCAGATTGGAATTTCTGATTTACAGGTGGCTCTACATGGTTGAGTATAGAGAAGGAGGTAAAAGGGCACACAGATGATTTAAGAAATCCGATTTTCAAGGTGGTAACACTAAAGTATCTTGCTATGAAGGACAACTGAAAGAAAGCAAAGTTTTCCCCCCATAACTTACCTTGAAATCATTTTGTCTTTGCCTAGCATTTTTCTTCGATCTTTCCATTTGGCCAGATTTTTCAGCAGTCTTGCGAAAATGAGAAAATTGAAAAGTGTAAGTATCTCATAACCAATAATTCTGAAAAAAGGGGTTTCAAAGTGAAGAAGTGAAAACCAATGAGTTTATGATGCAGTTCTAAAAACTAACTCATGAAATCTCAATAAGCAAAGACTATATATGTATATATTGATAAACTCCACTTAGTGTAAGTCAGAATGTTAATGTTTAATTCTGAGGAACAATGTGTATTTAAGACAGAGACAAGTATAAGAATAGCTCAAGCAATACGAACTTCATGAGGTCAAAGTTTTCTCACTGCAATGTTAGTGAGAGCTAAACCAGAGAGTCCAATTGTGCATCAAGTTTATATGAAGAAACTCTATTTTCTCAGCTTGGAAGTTGCCCAGAGAAGGGCATCGCCGTGAAGTGGGAGATACTTCTTGGAGTGAGGACAATTTGGAATTGTAACATGTGAGGGGGGGGGGGTTGAGAATTTTTTGCTTGTTTTTAGGAACAGCATTTTGTTGACAATGCTCTTTAAGTAATTCAACTAACTGTAAAAGAGAGTCTGCAAAATAATCAGCATCTTTATGGACAGTTCACTTCTTTGAAAACTGAGGAACGTGAGTACACTTTGCATAAGACAGTTACAGTTGAAAAAAAAAACATTGACTAACAGTCTTCCTGTTCTAGCCTTCTGTGGAGTCTGCTGAGAACACAGTAGAGTAAATTATACTGAAAAAAGCTATTTCAAATACTGGGTTAAGTGCAGATATAGAATTTTATAGTCAGATAATCTCCTATTTTATGTATGTACAGCAACATCTACTGGACAAGAAGTGCAATAACATGACAAGAGTGTTCTCAGAGAGAATCAGTTTACTTCCAAGTCTTTAATTTGAAATGCTGTATTTTTCAAATTCCCTCTTTAGCTAAAGCATTTCACATTTTTCAGGTAAAATAAATAATTTGAAATGAGCAAAACTTAGAGAAAAATAAAACTGCTTAACAGTTTTGGAAAATACATCACTGTGAAACTTGTACTTCAAAGCTCTGAATTATAAAGTTTCAGACAAGGAGAACAACACTCAAGTTATTGCTGCATGTAATACTCACTTCTCTCTTCTAATGCCTTAAAAAGAAAATAAACTGTATTCCTTTAAACCTCAGGTAGCAACTTAAAATTCACACTGTTTTACAGCTGGATTAAAGAACAACAAAAAAGTTTACAGATCTTTGATATATTTTTTTTTTCTTAGTGGTTTTGCTGAAGACCAGTCTTAAACCTTTCCTGCACAGACAGACCAAAACTATCTTGTGGTAAGACCAACGGTTACTACTGACATATGCGACTTCACCTAGAGTGATTCAAAGAACTCAACTTATAAAACTGTTGAAAATACCACGTAAATCGTTAACTGACAATATTTTAAGGCAGATAGCTAACCTTTCAGAACTAAGAAGAACCCCCCCCTCAAAACCCCCAAAACCCTACAAACTGAACAAGAGAAAATACATCTTGAAATTCATATGTTGGGTTTTTCTTTCCACATTTTTAAAATGTCTTTAAGACTTGAATCAGCTAACTGAAAGGACCCTCTAATATTTTCACAGGACTGTTCTTAAAAATCACCTTGCTTCCTGAATGACAATAAATAGCAAGTAACATGGTAAAAGAAATTTCTTCATGAACAATTAAAATCTGTATTGTTTCTGATAGAAAACCATAAAAACCTTGAGTCTTGAATGTGATATGGTGACAATTATTCTTAGGTGCTCTAGAAGAAGTCTTCCAGTTTATGCCACCCTCTCCTCCTACTCATCCTAAGTTGATTGCGGCATGCAGAATATAGAAAAGGAACTGAGGCCACCATCCCTCCTCTCTCCCCAAGAACCTGAGGGGCTTCTGTAAGGACCAAAGAAGCAGAAATCAAACGTATGGGGATTATTTTCTCACAAGCTCAGAATCTGGCCCAACAGAAGAAGAGTAGATGTAAAGAGTCCTGTAAAGACTAACAGGAAAACTACCTCCTCCTCCTCTTTTTTTTTTTTTTTTAATACATGGAAATAATGTTTTATTCAGATGTGACGTAAGATTACTGCATTTTCCACTTGCAGTCATTTTCATGAGTCGAACTTCTCAACCTTGTTTACAGTTCAAGTCTTGGTTTCTCTAGAAATTGCTTTCTTTTTCATTCTACTCTGAGAAAAAAAAAGTCACAATAGCTTAACAGGTGAATTTGTAAAGCCTAATTTCCAATGTACTGTTGTCAAATACAAAGGTTGCCATTTTCCTTGTGAAATTAATTATTTTTATGAAAGTCAAGAATAAACCTTAGTACTGTTGATTCTACTTCCTTCACTGAACGTTATGAGTAAATGTCATATCCTTCTTTTGATTTTATCATGTAAAATGAAGATCACAAATAGAATCTATTTCACTGGAGCTATAACGCTCTGTATATTGTGTCAAACATATAAAGGGCTATATTACCTATTACTATCACCATATGTAAATCAATATAACATTTTCAGACAGTGGCAACAAGTAGAATTACTGCTTGAGAAATTAATTGTTTAGTTAGCCAGAGAAAAGAAAAATGACAAAATAAGCTTCCAAATTTCCTTTCCCCAAGCTTTTTGTTTTATTTTCTTCTAAAGCTACAAAGAATAGTAGATATCTAGGGCTGTAGTTCTGCTTTAGGGACAATTTTGTAGTGGAATACTGTAGCTGTGATGACTTCAGGATTTAAGCACAGCAGGACACTGTAAGCATGGCAGGATAAAAACAATCTCAACAAACTAAATGATATAGCAACAGTTAAACAGAGAAGTCTTAGACACACAAACTTTTAGGTTTGATATAGAAGCTGATCTGAGTAACATGCACATCCAAAAGCTTGCTTATTTTCCACCTGCTCTGCATTATCCCAACTATCTCTATATCTCTTTACAGAACTCATCTTCAGAGTTTTTTAGGACCCAGAATGAGTGAGTCCAAACTGCAGTCAGCAGGAGCAGGAGGTGTGAACTACTGCCTTATCTGTTGATGGAACTGAGAGCTGCCTTTCACTATGCTTTAATCATGTGTTTGTTTTTGTCAGACTTGCTCCTTGGGAATATGCCATCACTACAGTTCTCCTTCTGGAGAGCAAGTAACATGGCTTGAGAACCAGAAGCAAACTCTCTGTAAAACATAGTGTAATTCTGTGACCAAATTTTAGCAGTAACACAAACCCCAAAGCTATTGTATTTATCTGGCAACGATTATGATGGTAAGCTGTATACTACCCATATCAAATGAATTATGAAATGTATCCTTTCAAAATCTGTTAATAGTGTGCATATAAAAACAGCACTTCATGAATCACTACTTTTTTTTTCCCTGCTTCTTGGATTATATCAAGATTATATTTACATAATTTGTAAAAATGAGATCATCTGAGCAAGAAGAACTAGAAGAACAGGTGACTGCAGGTGACTGCACTTGCAGACTAGAGCCCCTATAGTACGCCTGTATACAACTCTGGGCCTTGGTTATTTTGCATCTCTGGTCTTGAACCTATCCTCACTTCCAAATACTTATAGCTCAAAAAATGAGTACTCTTGTTCCAAAGAAAGGAAATAATTTTTTTCCGTATGACTTTTCTTTTACATATCTCTATCCTTCATGCAATTTGCTATTTCTTCAGATCACCAATGAAGGGTAGCTGGCCAACTATGAGTAAGAGGTGAAACTACAGAGATATTGACTCCAGTATCTGGAACACAAGCAGACGTACAATTGGCAGAATTTTAAGTAATTCCACTCTATGTTTTTATTCTTTTAAAAATAAAAAGAAAAACCTCACTTCTATAGGTTACTTTGCAAGACACCTTACTAGACAAGGTAGCATCTCTCAAATGTGTAAGAGTGCACATACTGTTTTATAAAACTCTCCGATTAAAATAAGTCATCATTTCTTCCAGTGAAATACAATACTTCAAACAGCATTACGGACTTTTGTTACTTAAAATTCATTTATATAGAAGAATCCGTACCTCACTGAATAAACTTCCATTCACATAAGAAATCCAGAGCTTCCAAAAGTTGGGCAGCTGACTTACAACAAGTTTTGTCAACTTTTCAACAAATACAACTTGCTGAGGAGCTTTGTATCGCCAAGCTAAAAGGAGGACAGGGGACAGGAAAAGCAAAATTAAAAAACCTTTGAATTAATAATAAAAAAAAAGTACTACTAGTTTGCTGCTGCTTTATATTACACAAGTGACTAAACAGGATGCATAAAACCTTTCAGGTAGGAGTGAAAAAATTTAAATCCCAGTCTATATACGTGTACACAACTGGTACACATAAAAGCTTTTTCTTCTCTTCTCATACACTTACAAGGTGCTAGCACTATGACAGTATATAAAGAATAGGCCACTTTGTAGGGGTATCTAATGCAATCTACCTAACAATCCATTAAGCCTGCTTTCTGTCTTCAAACCACTATAAAAGGTTAGGCAACATGAAAGCAATTAAGACATTAGAAGTTTCAAACAATGAGGTGATGATGCTCAAGAAACAGGTGTGCTAGGATGGGCTGCTAGGATGGGCTACTGATTAAGGCAAACAATGGAAACTGGAAGATTTGCTTTATTTCCAGCTCAAAAAAAAAATCTTCCACTGTGGCCTGGGGCAAGTTGTCAACTTCTCATCTTCACTTTCATTTGTTTGGTAAAGTCTTTTATCTGAAAAACAGGGGAGATTCCAATATTGTTGTTAAGACTCCATAAATGTATCATTAATTATACAATGAGATTCCTGGATGAAGAACACGATCATAACGTAGAACACTGTGGCATTTCTCACTTGATGAACCTACTTACACTCCTGGTATGCCAGTTATTAAAACACATCAGGAAAATAGCTTACATTTTGGCAGCAGATACCTTTTCTGTTTATCAAATGGGGCAAAGGGATGTTGGACGGGGAGGTAAACAGAAAGCTGAACACGGGCAGAAGAAAAGCACTAATTAACACACAAAATAAAGGAAACTGTGAAATACTTTTCTATAACCACCTGGTTTCTCCATTGAATCTTTCTCAATTACGATGTTTTAACAAAACAGGGTATCGGTATAACATTGATGAGAGACTTATATTTCACCTCAAGAATTACAGTCCACTTTAGAAGGCTTGGAAAAAGAAATGACAGATTTTTGAAAAACAAAACAAACAACCAAAAGCCACAAAACAAACCCAAACCGCTTAAAAAGGCCCATGTTCATTAGTGTGGGTCTTTTATAAATTATAAAGTTAAAAACATGACATTATCCTACATAACTCTGTTGAGAGGCAGACAAATGTGGGGTGAAATAGCACTTTTTGCCTTTACTCTACTAGAGAACATTGCCTGCACCAAACAGGAACTCGCCTAATTGCACATTAAATAACTAGTAAGCTTCACCAGAGCCTCACTAGTTTATTGTGTTGGTAGCCAGTCTTGGATCTCCTTGAAGTACAGAATGCCTTCAGCAGCATTCATTTGTCGAGGTGCAGGTCAAACATCACTCCATTTCTTTAATGGACAAATAAACATCTGCACTTCCCAAAATATTCTTTTTCCTCATGGCCAAAAAGTTTAGGGACTCTGGATTAGTATTTTAAAATTAAAAAAAAATCACAATGGAAGTCCAAAATTTGGAGAGAGACTCTGACATAACTGAAGTGTAACTCTGCTGATAGTGATGCATCTGTTTAGCAGGCATGAAAACTTCAAAGCTTAACTAGCAAAGCTCATAGTGTGGACATGGTATGATGTCAGAGCACTACTTTTGCCAGCTTGGTTTAGAACTGTCAGAGAACTGGTCTAGACCCAGTAGCAGAAAAACTCCTCTTATTAACATAAGCTGTGACTATGCCAGGAAGCTGTGCCAACACCACCATAGCAATCTGAAACGTCAACAAACACCAAGTTCTAAGCAAAAGATTTCAGCTCCTTCGAGAAACCATTTCATCTTTGCCAAAAGCTCCAGCACCAACCCAAGGTTATAACCCAAGGTTATAACATTCTAAAGATGAAATTAGACCTATTGTTTACATTTCCTCATGAACACATGCTCAAGCAAGAGCTCAGTGTTATTTGAATGCTGCAGTTTTGAATTCAAACAATGTCATGGATGATCACTGTCAATCACATTGGGGAAAAAAAAACAAAACACCACACCAAACCACCAAAAAAACCCCAGAGATGCCATTCCTCAAATTTCCTAAAAAACAAAAGGATGCACAAGCAATCTGAAAACAGAGCACATTATGGTATTTTTGGAATGGCAGCTCCTGCACAGGTATCATAAGTGGTTGGTTTGGTTTGCTTTGGTTTTCCACTCAGAGATGAGCAAGGATGGTAGAGCTTTCAACTGTTCCTAAGCATTCAGTGGGCATGTGCACCTAAGTACCAATGAACTCAACTCAGAGGCAACTCATTCTAACTCCAGGGTCTTTGCAGTGGATTATTATGATACTCCAATCCTCCAGTTTTCCTTCGAATCTGGTTTTAAACTGGTGGCTACAGAATATGCAACGCTTGCTGAAGACTTATCTTTTCCAGTTTATAAAAGGTTATGGATCCGTAACTAAGACTCTAAAAGCAAAGATAACCGATGGAATTGGAATTGCCTTCCATAGATGCAAATATTTAAGCAGAGACACACACAAAAGAATTCAAACAAGGAAAAAATAAACTGGATTTTGGATGTTGCTTGCTACATTAAGCATGGCATGTGTATTGTTAGTGGATGGTATCCAACAACAACCAGCAATTTACTGTTTTGCTCTGTGACATTTGTTAACCAACTTCATGTAAGGCTTTGGGCTGAGAAAGGACAACAGTAACAGTAATATAGTAATATAATTACTTGGTATACATGTATATTTTGAAGAGTCCGTGTAATTTACATTTTGAAATACAAATATTCAACCTCAAACTGTGACACAATTTAATTGTCTTGCATGTGAAGATACGCTGTGGCAGCACAAGAGTGTACAATTCTCACTATTCTTCATTCTATGCTCTTGAAAGATTCCCTTCATTCCTCTTTTTGCTCAAAAAAAAAAAAAAAAAGCAGATATTTACAGATGATTTTTCACAGAAGTCCACAGAACTGGGAGAAGAGTAACATGAAAGCAGACCAAAGCCAGAAAGTTCTTCATAAAAAACCCGCTTTCTGCAAAAAAGTACTTTGGTAAGAAATGACCTGTCCTGTGAAAAACGTTTTCTGTCTCCTGTGATGTCACCATTGAAATACTCCTGAGATGAAGTTGTTTGGACAAGGGTGCTGAAGACACTTTAGACACACAAGGGCTCAGCTGGTTGTAGACACACTGCTCGAGTTTAGTCACACACTTTTCTTCCCTTTCCGGGTTTACAGAATTAGAGAACAAGGACCAGATATGTGAGGTCACAGAAACAACAAATGCAAGGAGAGCCACATAACAACAGCAAAAGGTGGTAGGCAGTAGATGTTTATGTTCCCCGCCCCCCCCAAAAAAAAATTCTGGTTTTGTAGAAAAAAAAAGACTCTTATTACCTTGACCACATTTTTAAGCAGCAAATTTCAGCTACGAACTGCTCTTTGCTTGCAAAAAACACAGAGGAGCCCTTTAGTAAGCAATAATAATGCACAAGAAGAAAGAATTTTATTTGGTAACAAACCAAAACAAACACACAGAATGTGAGTTTCTGTTTGGTGGTTTTTTGTTTTGTTGTTTTTTGTTTTGTTTTGGGTTTTTTTGTTGTGTTGTGTTTTTTTTTTTGACTACACTACAAACTGGAGGTAGGGAACTGCAGCTTTATTTTTCCAAATAAAACAGATGCCTACCATCATCACGACCAGACTGAAAGCTGCTTCCCCTTTTCAATGAAGCAGTTTGACTCAGAAGGCCCATTGGTGATGGACGCGCATCGCTGTCCAGGTCTAACATGGGGCTGTGGACCAACGAGTTACCTAGAGATAGGGGGGGGAAAAAAAAGTTATGATTTTGCACATCAATTGACATGAAACTGCATGTTGCATGTGGATTTCTAATTTACTTCAGAAGTGATACAAGACAAAAGTTACCTAGCAAAAAACATTCTTAATCTTGCTTATTTAGACTGTTTGTTCATCCACATCAATGCTATTCAATAACACCACTATTGACTTCTGTAGCAAAGCCAAAACCATGAGTACCACGTAGGAAATTTCATTCTTTGGTCTGTTTCTGTTTTTACTTTAAATAATATCCTACAGTTAGTTGTTTGAAAGCCATGGATAAATATATATTTATGTCATTAGTGACATGGCACACATTTTTTTTCTGGTGTATGTCTAAACATACTTTTCAACAGCAAAAGTTTCTTGTGCTTCCAGCTGAAGCAGTTAAGGGCACAGTCTTCAACTACTTCTTAGCTGTTTGACCTCTACAGAGTTCAGGTAGAAAGAATCCATTCATCATGAAGCAGATGAACTAATGGCATTATATGCTTGTGAATGTCTGTAAAACATCCCGTAGTTATACATATCTACAAACATGCAAAATATTTCCCAGTGGGTCAAATAATTATTTTTCTCTTTGGATGCCTGTCCATACGTAGGTCGCTATTAGCAAGTCCTAAGCAATGATCTAATCTGATGGAGGTGGATGCTTGGAGTCTAATGTACATTTTTGAAATCAACCATAGAATAATGAGCAGACAGTGACGATTTTTTGATGTACTATAACACTGCCAATATTTCTTAATGCTTTATGCATTTCATCTTACAGATACACTTCTGAAAGTAACCATCAAAAATTATTTCTGGATTGGCCAACTGAGCTGTAAGAGCTAAACATAAATGAATCACAATTCATAGAATTATAGACAGCCCAGGTTGGAAGGGACCTCCAAAGATCATCTGGTCCAGCCTTCTGTGAGAAAGGGAGTCTAGATGAGACTATCTAGCACCTTGTCCGGTTGTGTCTTGAAAGCCTCCAGCAATGGGGACTCTACCACATCCCTGGGGAGGTTACTTCAGTGAATGATTGCTCTCACAGCAAAAAAAATTCTTTCTCAGATCGAGATGAAGTGTCTCCTGGTAACTCATGTTGAATTTTGTAGTGAGAATCTCAGCATTTGAGTTTATCTTGCTTGATCTTTCCCATCAATACCTACATTGACTTAAAAATAACAGGAAGGCCACACAGTTAGAGTACCAACTGTAAGACTGCAATACTCAGATTCAAGAGTAACACAAAGTAAAAAGGATTTGAAGAATATTTATTCTGAATTTATGCTGCTGTCAGACCAGCATGGCAGTAAAGATATACCTAGGCACTTTACTTCAACAGCTGGGGCTTAAAGAGCAATATTAAGTCTTATGAAACTTATCGCAAACTTCCAATAGGTGACAGTATTGGGTTTTAGTTTCTTTTGAAAGAAGTTCTTCCTCCCATAATTCTTCAATGGCTTTTAAAGAGATCTCCAGTAGCCTCTCACTGTGGCATTGTCATTACTGAGCTAACTGTCGGTTCCTCCATTCATCTTACTACTGTTCATACCATAAGACACCTAAGTAAAATAGATCCAATTTGCTACATGGTTCACAATCATGATGGACACACTGCATTAACTGACTTGGTGAACCCACCTGTGCTATCCTTAGCCTGTATTATGATTCTGTTCACCAATTCCTACACCACTAATTGAAAACAACTCATCTTTACCTCACCTTTAAAATTGATGAGTTTTCAGCAACATGGAATCTGTTGCAGTGATTTAAGTGTCTTATCCACCGTCACCACAGACAAGATCTACAATGAGTTTGAACACAAATTTGGGGAAAGACTTTTCCTTCATAATGAACTAAAAATACAAAATAATAAGAAAGTAAAACACTCAAGCTTTCAGAAGTTTTTTTAAGTATGTACGTATGCTGCAATTGCAAATAGTTAATTGTGGACATGTACCATGCAACTACCCATATAGCAGAGATCTGCATACAGTCATACATACATCATCAGCATTTATGATTTAAACACCTTTGACTTCTAAAGTATACCTTAAATGTTGTAAATTTGCAGTAATTAACTTCTGTGAAAACATTCTAGCAACCTTACAGAATGAAGTAAAAACAAAAACTGATTCCTCTCCACATTATTCCCTATCTTACAGAGATTCTACTCAAAATAAAAACAAAACTGTACAGACGACTCTGAGAAATTTTAACTGCCTCACATAGTTCTTGGGCTTCTATATGAATTTGACTCTGATTCAATATATCTGTGTCTGATTTGGAAAAAAAAAAAGTATGCCAAGAAGGACAAATCAGAATTGTCACAGCCATTGCTAGTTAAAACATATACTAAAAAACCCCCAAGAGTGCAGCAATGCTATTTTCACAAAAAAGTACAACTAGAAAAGGCCACGATACATCAAAACTTCCCTGTGATGTCGTAGCATAGAATTTAGGTTCTCGTCTTTCAAACACCCTGTTAATATGAGGAATTTCTTATAAACAGATGGCCTCTAAAAATGACAGTGCCAATTAAACCTCAGAATTAAGAAAAATAGACCCACTTACCAAAACATCTTACTGCGAATTAGTTCAATTAAAACCATTTCCTTGAGGTAGCTGAAACCTGAAAATTCTGTATTGCTGCTGCTACGCTAACCCCACGCCACCCAAATGGTTTATATATTCACCATTAACAGAAAACATGTAAAGAATACTCTCTTGTTCCACCAGAAAAACCACATCATCAGTTTGCAGCTGTACCAGGAAAAGAAAGTTTAACAAGAACTAATTTCTTAATTGGTTGTCTAGCAGTACAAGCAACTATAACACAGCAGCAGGGAACTACAACAGCACATATACCCTCAGGACTAATAAACATCTGGACTACATTAGCAAAGCTGATCTTGCTTTCACCCTACCAGAAGATAGCGCTTGAAGACTGCACACCAATGTATAAATCTTGTAAAAAAGTGAGAGTGAACTTATAAACAATTTTCCTCCCATCCCAGCTCATTCCCTCTCTGGAGCCAGCAGCTTAAATTTAGCAGCATAATGTAATACAATGAATTAATATTAGTATGGACTGTAGACAATAATATTTATAAACCTAAATAAACTACTCAAATAATAATGTACTGCCTATTCATTATTTGATTTGTGTACTACTTCTACATTCCTAGATCCGGAATATAGGACAACAACAATCTAAAGTTTCAAGAAATTAAGTTTTTACTGTGCTAACAGGTTTTAAGATGTTGTATAAACAACACGAACAATACATTCCTGGCAGATCTTCATCTTTTAAAAATATACTGCATCTTTGAAGTTACAGAAGTTTTTCTTTTCCAAAATACAGCATCTACATGGAGCGTATCTGTCAATTACACCAGTGCCAAGTGTATATTCAACCAAGGAAACACAGGAAAAATAAATTCTCCTCTTCTACCAAACAGTCATGACAAACCAGAAGTATAATTAAAGCCTTATTACATTTGGAACTGTAAAATCATAAGAAGATCAAATAAGAAGTTTTAAGGATCTTAACATTGCTTTAAATTTATTTTTTTTAAGAAGGATTTTACCAGGTTTCAACTTCTTGTGCACAGATATTTCAAAGGTATGTAGAATGAAATAAAAACATTCAGATACTGTGTGAAATATAAATAGTTCAACGGTTTTGTTCAGACCTCTTCTGTTCTAGCGCTGTAAGATCTTACCAAAATAAGGGTCTAAAAAAAGCGCAATGCTTTTTGACGTCATTTATTTAATTTGTGCTTTCACTTTCTGTAAATCAAAAGTCACCTGTGCTGACCCCTAATTGCAGGTTTACTCTAAGTTTATCAGTACTGGAGTTGCTAGAGGGTACTTACGTGCCCACAGTACCTATGGCTCACGTACATATCTTGACCCCATTTTTTGGAATGTTAGCTGCATGCTCTTGGCACACAGCATGTTACAGCCTCCATTGAAAAGACAACTAACATGAAACTTTCCCAAAATAGATTTTTCCATGATCTGTAAACCAGTTAATGATTTAAATCTTTAAAAGCAACTTTACTTTCATATTTCAAAACTATTACCCAACTGAGTGTAAAAATTGTTCTGCAATATCCATTGCTCCACAGCTCAGCTTGTTTTTTTCCCCCCTCGCAATCTGACAGGCTTCTCGTAGCAGTCACGCATCTCTTGCCTTTCTTTTGTAACCCACACTCAGCCACTCTGCAATTCTGCCAGCCCAGTGCATCACTTTTGTGACCATTCTGCTAAAACTTTTTACAAAAGCTACTGGTTGATCAGGGGATAATATATTACCAGTATTTTTTGCAGTGACAAAGAAAATTGTTAACAAGTGACCAACCTCAGGCTGAGTAGTTTTTCAGTGTGATTTTCCATGGCAAGTCAAACATCAGTCATTACACAGACTTGCTCATATACAGCAAGCATATGAGCAAGACTAAATCAAAAAAGATTTGACAGATGTGCAACCAGGTGAATACAGTTATTGTATTCTTTCATCCATTATGTATCTTACAGTGAATTTTCTCACAGGCTACAATAGTGAGGGAAGGCTGATCTATAGCCTCTGGACTCTCTGAAGGGCGGCAGACTTCCTTACCACCCTTAAACACCTTTGAACATTTTTTCCTGTGCACAGCGGGCTCTTGTCCTGTGCTACAGCCTGACCACCCACTGTTGCTTGTTGACCAAACACACAGTGCCTGGAGCCCGCACCGACACAACCAGGATAAGATTCCTTTCAAGGACACCGCATTGAGAGTTTCAATTTGTCTAGGCAAGAAATTTGGTGAGCAGGAGAAATTACTGAAAAATGAACCTGCTCAACAGATGAATGACCGCATTTTATTCTTTTTCTTGAGTATTTTTTCTTTCTAATTTTACATTTATTAGGAATCTGACATTTTAAAGTGATCGAGAAGAAAATGGGTTGTATTTCTAGCAAAGAGATGAGT